CACATATTCTCAGTAGCTGCATATGTCAAAGCAAAGTCTGACAGTAATGAGCTGAAATAGAAGCAAGGAAAAATAAAGGGATTTCTGAGAAAATAGATTCTAGTTTGTTTGTGAGCATGCACACTAAAGCAAAAAAAGTTTTGAAGGCAGCTGAGGCTTTGGGCAAATTCTAACAGCATTGAAGGGTGAGGAACTAGGCAAGGAGGCAAACAATGTGATTCTGGCATCCTGCCGGTGATTCAGAAAATACTGATTCAAAAACAAGAACTGTTTTCAAAGGTCTTTTGACAGAGCCGACAGCTCCTCAGTCGTCAGCCACTCTCCAGAGACCCTAATGAGCTCTTCCTTGTCAGGTCTTTCTATCTCAACAAGAAACTGCTAGTCTGTCTATCTGCCACCCCATCATGAGTGCACCTACCTTTGCTTATGCATAATATAAATTATTATTGAATGCAAACACTTGTTCAGGTTGATCAGTTGGTTGTTTCTGTCAACCTACATCAATGTGCTCTTTAATGTGTAAATGACTCAGCAGCAGGAATTGTGTGTAAACGGGTGATCAGAAAGTGCTTTTCTATTGATAAACTAATAGGTTTTACTAAAGAAGTTGCATTCGTGAAACTCTTGTAGATTGTTAAAATGTTTCACCTTATTTTCCACCATAGCTAGTTATGCGGGGGCCAATAAAGATGACATCCCAAAGAAAGAATACTTCTTTAAATATGTTTGATAATATTCAAGATACTTGCCCAATTCTGTATAAAGGGCCTGCCATTTTAATTTTAGATGTCAGAACCCTTTCTAAAATTAGCTTTTGTTATTAGGCAACACAAACAGTATCATTTTCTAAAATAACCCTTTTTGCTGATTTATTTTTTCTTATTTCTTGCAAAAATTCTGCACTGGCTTCCCGCTCTCTCTTCCATGTTCAGTGCTGTTTTGTATCTTTTGTTTTAATATTCTTCCACAATATAGCATGGGTGATCAACATCATAGAAAAATGGAGTAATTCAAACCTGGTTTGAGTTCCGGTAAAATATTTTTCTTAATTTCCTTTCCCCAAATACATCACTTCTATCATCTGATGTGTCATCAGTGTTTTTGGAATTATCTTTTTTTCTATTCCGTCATAAAGTTGCCTTTTCTTTGATTAAAATATCTCCAGACACCTCAATTTTCTTAGTGAATTTGCCTCATGTTTGAGGAGAGAAGCTACCCATTTTATATGAAATAAAAACTAAAGTAATAAGCTTAGTGCGTTCAAAAAGGACATATGGAAAGAAAACCACACCTATGCTCATCATAGTCAATCTGCTAGAAATCAAAGTTGAAAAGAAAATCTTGAAAGCAGCTAAGGAAAAATGACACATACAGTTAAACGGCAATCAAATTCCTATTTGCAAAAACACCGAAGGCCAGAAGACAGTGTAAGAACGTGCTGAAAGAACAAAACTTCAACCCAGAGTGCTAGCCCCAGAATAAAATCTAAATATCCTTCAAGAAACAGAGCAAAATAACAACATTTTCTGATTTAAAAAAAATGAGAATGAATTACCAGCAGACCTGTGCTACAAAAAATGCTACAAGAAATCATTCAGTATTAGTCAAAATGATAGTGATGGAAACTGATCCTGAGGAAGGAATAAAGAACACAAAATTTACAGAAAATTGGATAAACACAAAATTAATTTTTATTCTTAATTTCTTCAAGATATATATTTTATATATATATATATAACTGCTTAAAGGAAAAGTTATAATATTATATATAAGATTTTTGCTGTATGAAAATGTAATGAATGCATATGACAATTACAGCATAAAGGACAGAAGATAAAGGTGAGGGGACTTATATAATGAAAAATTTATTTTATGTGAAGTGGCTCAATATTAATTCTAAGAAGACTGTGGGAAGGTAAAGATGTATGTTGTCATTCAAAAGCAATCACTAAAAATAATGCAAAGTATCAGGGCTAAAAAGCTAATAGATTCATTCAAATTTTCTTCAAATTTGGATTTCAAAATACTTGAAAATACTTGATATGGTACCACTTAATTATGTTTTCCAATTCTGAACCTATACATTAACCAAGAAAAAAATATGCATTTGAACAAGGTTATGATGTGTACTGTTTATTGAATTTTAAGATAGAATATTCTTTTTTTTTCTTCTTTATGCTCCAAGGACTGGTTTATGGTCTTTTTATCCTTCAACTTTTATTTTAAAGTTCAGGGGTACATGTGCAGGATGTGCAGGTTTGTTACATAGGTAATGTGTGCCATGGTGGTTTGCTGCACAGATCAACCCATCATCTTGGTATCAAGCCCAACATCCGTTCGCTATTCTTCCTGATGCTCTCCCTTCTCCCACCCCTTTCCTTGGACAGGCCCCAGTGTGTGTTGTTTCTCACCACGTGTCCATGTCTCATAGTTCAACTCCCACTTATAAATAAAAACATGCAGTGTTTGGTTTTCTGTTCTTGTGTTAGTTTGCTGAGGGTAACAGCTTCCAGCTCTATCCATGTCCCTAGAAGGGACATAATCTCAATCCTTTCTATGGCTGCATAGTATTCCATAGTGTATATGTATCACATTTTCTTTATCTAGTCTATCATTAATGGACATTTGGGTTGATTCCATGTCTTTCCTATTGTGAAGAGTTGCAATAAACATATGCATGCATGTATCTTTATAATAGAATGGTTTACATTTCTTTGGGTATATACCAAGTAATGGGATTGCTGGGTCAAATGGTATTGCAATCCCCACACTGTCTTTCACAATGGTTGAACTAATTTACACTCCCACCAACAGTGTAAAAGTGTTTCTTTTTCTCTGCAACCTTGCCAGCATCTGTCATTTCTGGACATTTTAATAATTGCCATTTTGACTGATGTGAAATGGTATCTCATTGTGGTTTTGATTTGTATTTCTCTAATGATCCGTGATGTTGAGCTTTTTTTTATATGTTTGTTGGCAGCATAATTGTTTCTTTTTGAAAAGTGTCTGTTCGTGCCCTTTGTCCACTTGTTAATTTTTGTTGTTGTTGTTTTTTCTTGTAAATTTAAAACAGAGTGTTCTTGATGAAGACTTCTGTGGTAAAGTTGAAATAATTTGGAGTTTAGGATTTTAGATATAACTGCTAATGTATGAAGTAAGAAAATCATTTTCTCTTTCTCATGACAAACTCTTTGGCCATGTTTTTCTTATGCTATATTCAGTGGGTTCCTGAGAGGTTTCTGACTTCCCTTTATTTCCATACACATTCTAGGAGCAAATCTAGAAGTTTGTAGTGGGAAAGTGGTAAGAATATCACTGGGAAAATAAACAAATAAGCCTGAAATTCTTGAAACACCAATGTGTTAATGTTTTCTTCTCATAATAATAGATGAAAATAATAAATTATAACTGTTGTTTTAAGCAAGCTATGACAATTAAGGTCACTGAGATCTCACCCTAGGATATCTGCCTATCTCACTTAGAAAAAACAATATGGGCAAATTTCTTTCTTGTTTAGAATCTTTTCAATATATCCATATTTTTATGTATCCATATCCACTTTTATATAATATACTAAGGACAAATGTGCCCATTTCTATCCAAAATTAAACAAAAGAAAAGTGGTAATATGATTTCACCATGGGTGGGGTCACGCCTGGAGCTGGATTTTGCTACAAATATTTGGGGATGTATTGGTTTGATCTCACACTGCTAATAAAGACATACCTGAGACTGGGTGAGTAAAAAAAGAGGTTTAATTGACTCACAGTTCCACAAGGCTGTGGAGGCCTCAAGAAACTTACAATCATGTTGAAAGCAGAAGCAAATGTGTCCTTGTTCACGTGGTGGCAGGAAGGAGAAGTGCCGAGCAAAGGGGGAAGCTCCTTGTAAAACCATCAGATCTTGTGAGAACTCACTCATTATAATGAGAACTCACTCACTATAATGAGAATTATGTGGTAACCAGCCCCATAATTCAACAACCTTTCAACTAGTCCCTCTCATGACATGTGGGAATTATGGGTGCTACAATTCAAGATGAGATTTGGGTGGGGACACAGCCAAACCATATCATGGGGTTATAACTAAACTTCCATCTGGGCTTACAATGTACTTCGAAAGAAAGTAATTTGAAAGGTAGAACACTCTTTCCCTCTTATGGAGTAGCTCCTTGGTGTTTCCTGCAAAAACTTAATTATAGCCTTGGTATAACCGTTCTCTCCACTTAACCTCATTCCTTCTGTTCCTATCTATGAATAAGAAATTCCAACTTTTGGGCTCAGAATAATTTGAAAAACTGACATACAAGTAATATTAGAAGTTTGTGTATTAAATTAACTAGGGTATAAATACATATAAAATCTTTTCACCTGCCTTGACTGCCCAGATATTTTCATCTCATCTTTAATGAATTCAGTTATATTTCAGGCAAGATTGGGTGCTTTCAGGTTGATATGGCTGTAAACAAATCCAATTATATTTTAACGCGGAGAAAGGAGGACTTATTTTCATGACTTGTTGGTTGGCCTGGAATTTCATTCTCAACATGAAGAATGCAGCAAAATATAATATGTTAAGGTCTATAGGAAAATGATGGTTCTAAAGTATATGGAGTAAAATTTCAGTTCCACTCTATTTCTAGCTAATGTGAGCTTGAGTAGTTACTTAGATTCTTGAAGCCTTGATTTTCTCATCTAGAAAATAGGGGTAATGATGGTATCCATGCCATAGATTGATTGTAAGTATTAAATTAAATAAATCATTTAAAGTACTTAATACAATGCTTAGCATGTCATAAGCAGTCTATAAATGTTAGTTGTTGTTACCGTATTGATGTTTATTTGGCTTTTCCCATCTCAAGAAATTTCCTTTTTTCAAAGAAACCAAAGTCATTGTTAGCTCATCCCATCAAGTATCCATTAATAATGTGGATAGACAGGTTCATGTTTCATAGCCAGAGGCCCCAATTGCCCACAGTCATCTTGTCCAAAAGAGAGGATAAAAGTCAGCAGGTTGAATTTTTTCCAAACTTCAGCTTGCAGCCTACAGCATCTTGGATCCTCAGCTACTTCAGCCGAAACTCAAGGTTAGTTGGTGTTTTTGTTCTCTCCCTTTTAAATATAAGCTACTTTTCATTCAAATAATGAAAGAATATCAAAATAATGTACTCTGAAATGAATTTTTGTGCTACTCTTGATTTATAAATGTAGAAGAAGTAACAGAAGTGGGAAAATATTCGTAGGTTGAGTCTCATACTGCCTAATCCTGATGCAAGTGTATGCTATAAATCGACACATCTGAAACATATATATCTGGCAATACTTACTCAATGTTCACTTGGGACCAAGAGTAGAGAGATTACCCACTAAATTATGGATGATTCTTCTGTGATTGTTGACTTCAAATCTCTCTTCCATTCTGATTCAAAGTCATCATCTTCTCATCTTTCCTTTGCATCTTGTCCTGATGTCCTTTTATTTATTCATTTTCCAGTAAAATTTTACTGCTTCTCCTCTCCCTCACAGTTATCAGACGACACCTGTTAGGTATCTGCCCAATATACTATATTCTTTCTCTAGTAACTGGCTTTTCATTCATGGGGACACATAGAGAATTTGTTCATGAGCCACGCTTGTCATGTGCAAATCTGTCCTCTTTGTGAAAACCAAGTGGACCAGGGTGGACCCTTACTTTAAGTAAACCAATCAGATGATCCCGGGGGTTTGAAACTGAGAACAAAAGGCAGTCTCTGAGGGGTGGGTGAGTAATAACACATTAGCATATTACACATTTAAACTCAGAAGAAATGAGACAACCATGGGAACAAAGTAGCAAAGAAAGCCAGTTAGTAGAGAGGGAGAAAAATGAAGCAGAAATAAAGGTAAAGCAAAGGTATGGCTTGAGTCCCTGACAACTTTCTAGGACATGATTTCAGTCTCCTTTTGATAACAAGCTACATTTCTGCTCTAACTAGGATACGTTCATTAACTCATTTAATAACTCATTCAGTATACATTTTTTGAATGTCCACCAAATACCAGGAATTGTGCTATTTTTCATACCTTCTCTCACTAAATTTTAATTAGAAGTCTAAATCACAACTGACCAAATAGCAAAACAATGGTAAACATTTAATATTTCTGACAACATCCCAAGAAAACTTGGCACTCGATTCTGGCTATTACTGTACATTTTCAAGTGAAGTCCCAATTGTACTGTGACTACTCTTAGCTAGGTGAGCTGAAACAAAAGTTCCTATTTAAGAAATGTAGTGTTATCTTCCAAGATTGCACTGGCAAGCAAATGATAATCTCTGAACATGATTATGACCTACTTAAGGTTTTATATAATCACTGCAGAATTTTTATGTGAGAAAGAAAATTCACAGGGCAGCACAAAGAGGATTTTTTAATGTTCACTTGTGAAATATCAATGATTAGGGATATAAGGCTAATGATAGCTAATGCATTATGGCAAAATAAAAATCTTCTGACTTGCTATTTATTTCCTAACTTTCTATCTCCATATAGTATAATGATGCAAGTCCATAAATATCAGTCTGCAAGGGAAAACATATTTTTAGATTATCCTAAATATAAGATACAGAGAAATTACATTTTTTTTCCTTTGAGTAGTTGGTAATAGGTCTAAGTAATTCGTTAGGAACCTGCTGGTTCTTTTTCTACTGAAGATGAAAAAAAAATTAGATCAAGGCACTAAACTTGTGTTTAATTCTTCATATTAAATACAAGTCAGAGTTACATGGGTTATTGTCAGAAAGAAGGCATAGGTACTTTGATCACCTCTACTCCCTGAATCTGTGTTCTTACTAAAACTTACCCAGTTTTTAATCCACTGTATGACTTACATCATTACTTCTCTATTTAAACTGCTCAAATCTTACCTTCTCAAAGGGTTTTGTCTTTGCTATTGAATTCCACAGCCTTCTTTCATCTCATTTAGAATAAAATTCTAATTCTTTCCAATACCTTGAAAACCATACCTAATCTTAATGCAAGACTTCCTCACCAGTCTTACCTTTTGCCAGTTTCCCTCAGACTCTCATAGGTGTTCAAAGTTGAGCTAGATAAAAATAACTGTATTAATTTTCAAGAGCTGCCGTAGGCAATTACCACAGACCGGGTGGTTTAAACAACAGAATTTTTGTTAAACAACAGAAATTAATTTTCTCACAGCTTTGGAGACTAGAAGTCCAAGATTAAGGTGTTGGCAGGGTGATTCTTTCTGAGGTCTCTATTTTTGGCTTATAGATGGCTGACTGCTGTGGTTTAAATGTTCCTTTCAAAACTCGTGTTAAAATTTAGTTGCTATTGTAACAGTTTTGGGAGGTGGGTCCTTTAAGAGGTGATTAGGTCAATGCCATTATTGTGGGAATGTGATTCTCTTTCTCTCTGTCTCTCTCTCTTACCCTCTCCCATCAGGCCTTCTCCCTTCTGCCTTTCCAGTATGTGATAACATAGTAAGAAGGCCTTCACCAGATGCCAAACAGATATTGTCATCATGCTATTGGACTTCACAGTCCCTAGAACTGTTAGCAAAATAAATCTCTCTCTTTTTTTAAAAGAAATTTCCCAGTCCGTGGTATTCTGTCATAGCAATGGGAAATGGACTAATACACCATCTAATCCCAGTGTCTTCACATGGTCTTCCCTCTGTGCATATCTTTGTCCTAATCTTCTCTTCTTATAAAGACATCAGTCATATTGAGTTAGGGTGTACACATATGACCCCATTTTACCTTAATTATCCCTTTAAAGGTCTAATCTCCAAATATAGTCACATTCTGAGGTACTGGGGATCAGGACTTTGACATATGAATTTTGGGGAACACTATTCAGGCCATAACGATGGAATTCTTTAGACAATTGATGAATATGCTCTGACAAGTTTGGACATGACCTGTTAAGATCATAAGGGACTTGAGTAGAGGTGACAAAAGAAGTGCAAATTCAATGACTCACAGAAGCTTTGGGTGTGACAGAAACTTAAGTAGCTTGTTTTCTTGGCTGACTAAACTGAAATGTCCATTTTTTCCAGAAGACTGTCTTCACAGAGTCAAAGTGAAAAAAGAGTAGAGCAGACAGGGACAGCGGTCACTGCACAAAATCAGCAGACTGCCAGGGCAGCCCCATGTCTCTTCAGAACGTTGGGACAAACTAAAGTCGGTCTCAGGAAGAAACTGCTTCTCATGTTCTCATAAGAAAGTGAGTCTTGTGAAAAATGGCACTGTAAGAAAATACTTTCCCTTCCATTTATCAAAAAACTATCCAATGAAATGACTATGCAAATAGCAAGTAACATGATGGATTAGGATAGTATTATTAAGGATTTTAGAAACAAACTTTTTCAGGTAGTCCCTGAAAATTCTTCTGAATAAATAAATAAATGCGACATTGTCTAGCTCAGGCAAAACCCCACAGATTTATCATATTATTAAAAGGATAATAAAAGGTGGAACATTTAATGTCCTAAAAGATTTAATGAGGCTGCTTCAAAGACATGAATGAAAGCTCATTTTTAAATTAACTATTCTCTCATGTGGGAAAATATAAACTGAAACAAACAATAATAAACAAAAAACGATGCTTTTTTAAAACAAAACAACAGCATTATAATGGATTCTCCCAGAGTAGTGACTAAAGTCTTCCCATTCAAAGAGGGGGAAACTATCAGTACTTATTGCTTACGGTATATTTATTATTGCCCTTTGTCTTGCATTGAAACATGTTTATATTAGGATATATTTGATGGAATATGCTTCAAAGAGGAAGAGTTGGAATTCTAACCCTAGAATGCTACAATTTTATTCTATGATTCTCTCAATAGTCCATTGGGAGTATGTTTTGACACAGGCTTCATGAAGCAGTTATCTAAGATATTGAAGTTGGAAACACTGCAAAGAAAATTTTAGAATTTTGCCTGAAAAGAGTCAATAGCAGCCTCTTGCTCCCAAACTCTCTTAAAGGGAAAGCTGAGCAACTATGGTTTCTGTGCTGTATTAGTTCGTTTCACACTGCTAAAAAGATACTACCTGGGACTATTAACAAATTACCTGGGATTGTTAATAAATTTATTAACAAAAGGGGTTTAATTGACTCACAGTTCGGCATGGCTGGAGAGACCTCAGGAAAATTAGAATCATGGTGGATGGTGAAGGGGAAGCAAGGCACCATGTCTTACATGACAGCAGGAGAGAGAGAGAGAGAGAGAGAGAGAGAGAGCGCGCAAAGGGGAACTGTCAAACACTTTTAAAATCATCAGCTCTCATGAGAACTCACTTACTATCATGAGTACAGCATGGGTGAAACCATCCCCATGATCCAATCACCTCCCATCAGGTCCCACCCCTGACGCATGGGGGATTGCAATTTGAGATGAGATTTGGGTGGGGACAAAGAGCCAAACCATATTATTCCACCCCTGGCCCCTTTCAAATCTCACATCCTTCTAACATTTCAAAACCAATCATGTCTTTCCACCAATCCCCCCAAGTCAACTCATTCCAGCATTAACTCCAAAGTCCAAGTTCAAAGTCTCACCTGAGACAAGGTAAGTTCCTTCCACCTATGAGCCTGTGAAATAATAAAAAAGTTAGTTACATCCAAGATACCATGACGGTGCAGGCATTGGATAAATGTTACTGTTACAAATAGGAGAAATTGGCCAAAACAAAGGGACTACTGGTCCAACGCAAGTCCCAAACCCAGCAGGGCAGGCATTTAATCTTAAAACTCCCACATTTCCTGTGACTCCATGTCTCACATTCAGGATATGCTGATGCAAGGGATGGGCTCCCAAGGCCTTGGGCAGCTCCACTTCTATGGCTTTGCAGGGTACAGCCCACAGCTGCTTTCATGAGCTGGCAGTGAGTGTCTGTGGCTTTTCCAAGTGCATGGTGGAAGCTGTCAGTGGATCTACCACTCTGGGGTTTGGAGGATGGCAGCCCTCCTCTCACAACTTCTCAAGGTAGTGCCCCAGTGGAGACTCCATATGGGGGAACCATCCCCACATTTCCCCATTGTCTTGGCTATTAACATTTGGCTCCTCATTACTTAGGTAAATTTTTGCAGCCAGCTTGAATTTCTCCCCAGAAAATGAATTTTTCTTTTCTACCACATGGTCAGGCTGCAAAATTTCCAAACCCTTATGCTCTGTTTCCCTTTTAAACAAGTTCCAATTTCAAACTGTCTTTTTGTGAATGCATATAACTGAATGCTTTCGGAATAAGCTAGGTCACCTCTTGAATTCTTTGATGCTTAGAAATTTCTTCCGCCAGACACGATATCCTAAATCATCTCTTGAGTTCAAACTTTTACAGATCTCTAGGGCAGGGGCAAAATGCCACCAGTATCTTTGCTAAAGCATAGCATGAGTGACCTTTACTCCAGTTCCCAATAAATTTCTCATCTCCATCTGAGACCATAACAGCCTGGACTTCATTGTCCATATCACTATCAGCATTTTGGTCAAAACCATTCAACAAGTCTCTAGGAAGTTTCAAACGTTTCCACTTCTCCCTGTCTTCTTCTGGGCCTTCCAAACTGTTCCAACCTCTGCCTGTTACCCAGTTCCAAAATCATTTCCACATTTTCAGATTATCTTTATAGCAGTGCCTCACTCCCAGTACAAATTATCTGTATTAGTCCATTTTCACACTTCTATAAAGATACTATCTGAGACTGGGTAATTTATAAACAAAAGAGGTTTAACTGACTCCCAGTTCCCTGTGGCTGAAGAGGCCTCAAGAAACTTGGAATCATGGTGGAAAATGAAGGAGGAAGCAAAGCACTTCTTACATGTGGCAGGAGAGAGAGAGAGCAAAAGGGGAACGGCCAAACACTTTTAAAATCATCAACTCTTGTGAGAACTTACTGTTATCGTGAGAATAGCATGGGGGAAACTGTCCGCATGATCCAATCCCTTTCCCACCAGGCCCTCTCCTGATATGTGGGGATTACAATTTGAGATGAGATTTGGGGACAGAGAGCCAAACCATATTTAATGGTGTGTGTATGCCTGTGGATGCGAGGGTTACTTTACCTTTATTATGAACACTTGAAGTGAATTCAAATTCTTCATTGACTAAAAGGTTGAGATGCAAATATAATATCTGAGATAAAAAAGTGACTTCCTAGAAATGTTCATAATAATTAGACATGCGCTGGGATTTATTTGCAGAACAATTTAAAACTTAAGCTTTGTATATTAATTCCTATGAGAATTTGACACATTTTAGATGGTTGCCTAGATTTAAACACAAGGAGATGATTTTGAAAATTACTTTTCTGTTCTAATTTATGCTGAGCTCTATCCAGAGATAATATAGTTGTTATATTCTTTTAAGACATTTAAATCTGCCATTGAGCCTCTTATTGATGTGTTTGATGGACTGATGAGTTATGATGCAAGCAATTAAAGTCTTCTAGACACTATATTCTGAGAAACTATTTATATACCATCAAGGCATCATGAGATCTATTTTTCTAATATTGGACTGACATGGAAAAGTTCATCAGTAAGATTACTTTTCAGGCAAAATTTGTCTTAGAATATAAAAATATCCTTTCTGACTTTCTGATATTAATAACAAGTTTATGCTTTAATAACAAATTTATGCTTTAATAACAAAGTTTCAATCATGTTTATGTTTAATTCCACTGCCTGGGTTATTCATTACCAAGCAGTCTAGACCAGCAATTAAGACCTTGTGAATAACACATATTCCAACCTACACATGAATGACCTTTGTCAATTCGTTCACCTACTCTGGCACTCGTGTTTTTATCTTTTTGATAAGGGCTTAGACAAGGTTTTCAGTCATTGCTGTGCATCCAAAATAAACTTGGTGTTAGTTAATCTGAGGACGGTCTGAGTATCTCTGCCTGCAAAGCTCCTGAGATAATTTATTTGTGCTGTGAGGGTTGAGAACTACCCAACTAGATAATGTCAGCCTTCTAGCTCCACTATTTTAAGGTTCAAAATTTTTTTTCTTACACAATGATAGATCATCAGCCTTTATTATTTGAGATGAAATTGTAGAGTTTTGTCCTGGTGAGAGTTTGGAAGTGAGGGTTGACATTTCACCTTGCTTTCTGTGTGAGAGCCCCTAAGAGCTTATCTTTGGACAAAGGTAGAGGTGCCTATGGTGGAGAAAAGGAGCAGGAATGGGAGAGCTGATTTGAGAATGTGCTCCACATTCCAAAGACCTTTAGGAGCCTGGAGTGACAATCACTAAAACAAAGTGGAAAAACCAGTACTGAGTGGTAAGCTTTTCAGATATGATGACACTTGGTCAGAGAAATGTGCAAATCCTAGGATTTCCGGGAAAAAATGTGAACTACATTTTCTCAATAAATACAAAGATAGTTTTTGAATTAGGAAAGAACACAGGTCTGTAAAAAACAAAGAAAGAAATACAGTGTAGTAGGAAGAAAAACAAAAACAACAAAAAGGCTTCTATTTTTGCCAAACTCAACCTGCCGCTTTTCAGAAGTAGGCAGGGCTTATATTTTGTTGTGACTCCTTCTAGATGTTTCCTTTGTTTAAACAATCCTATCAAATATTCATGGACTCTATCCATTGATATATTATTTAAAATCAGATTAACATCATCACAGTATAATGATGATTCTATTTTTTTCTCCCATCAAGTGTATTGAAACAATATATGGCATATGTCACACCATGCAAATGTAGATCACTCCTTTAAGGAGTGTTTAAGATTTTTGTTGAAAAATATGTACCATAATTTAGTAAGTCAGTTCTTTACTGGTGAATATTTTAATCATTTCCAGTTCTTTGCCCCTGTGAAATATTCAGTAATGAGCATCCTTGTTCATATATATTTGATCAATTGCACAGGTATCTCTGTACAGTAGATCTAATGATATGAAATACTTGGAATGAAAGGATTTAAAGTGTAGATACATTTCCAAATTGCCCTTCTAACCTGTAATATCGATTTATAAGGACAGCAAGACTATTGAAAGTTTCTGTTTTGTCACAACTATTCCAACCTGAGGAATGATCAGTATTTTGGATCTTTAACATTTTGATATGAAAATTCTTATTTTGTAGCTTTAATTAACATTGCCTTAATTATCAGTACAATTTTAAAAATAAGTAAATTTACAAAGAGACTCCCACTTACCTACCGACAATACAAAAATTACATAAGGTTTTTAGTCAGATGGTAATAAAAAAAAAAACTAAAAGCATATATTAGAGGGACTTACACAGAATGCAGGCATTAATTTGCATTTTCTAATCAGAAATGCATTTATTTTTCTCTTTGTCCTCTGCAGTTCTCCAATTTGAATATTCAGCAGGAGAAGAAGGCTGACTGAATACTTAGATTTAACAACAATGGTTAAACATATTCCTTTCTTATGATTCTGCTCCATCTTTCTAAGGTGAAACATTCCAAGCAAAGTAAATCTTAATTTTGAATTCAGATGGCTTACTGCTGAAATCATTATGAACACAATGGAAACGGGAAACTTTTCAGAATATTTTACCTCTGTAGACAAATTGGCACTTTCAAAGAACATTAGAATGACGTGGATCCCATGCACCCATGTTCATCACTCTTAATCCCCTGCCCCCAGCTTTGTCAACGCCAAGGAAGATGGATGCCCTACATTGAGGATGGCCCTCAACATGAACTTCCTGTGCTGGCTGGCTGGCACCAAGTTTTCCAAAATGATCTGTTCTAGCACATTTGCTCTCTCACCAGGCTGTCCTTTCGCCTGTTCCTGTCCTCCCCCTCTCTTCCTGTTCCAAGCCTGTCATCACTCTTCTGGCAAAATTTTCCTTGCTGCAAGGAGCAACCTCTCTCAACCAGTGCAATCACACATTTCTTTCACGGGACACTCATCGAAGGGAGCATCCTCCACTCACTATAGCCTCATCCTTTAGTAGCCTCACTCCCTTTCTCTCTCTTTCATCTTAGCTACAGGGCCTGTGTTATCTGGCTCTTTTCCTTTGTCATACATTAGTTTATCAAAACTCTGGTCCCTTTAGTCAACATGAGTGTCCAAGAGCATGCACTTGGATCAGGCCACTGCTCTTGGAGCCAACAGAGTAGTATGCATGATGAATTATGAAATCTTTTCCTGACAAGTTTAGAATCTCTGGTTCTGCCAGGGCACTGGACCAATGAATGGGAACATGTGTGACAAATCAGAAAATTCTTTTTGGGAAATGCTAGGGAAGAGAAATCTGCAGTCGACTACTGTGACAAACTGAAGATCTGATGAAAACCCTTCATGGGTGACCTGGAAGCAAGCCACTTTTCATTTACATTTGGAATTTAGAGACTGCTTAAGATTTAGCTAATATAGTCCAGGCTTGATTTTTTTTTTTTGACTGACAACAAACTCTTTCTCTGTGTTTTGTTTTATACAGTGTGTGTGTGAGTTAAATATCTATTGATGCTGTAAACACAAGCATTTAGTTTGATGAGTAGGACTAATGCTTTCATCTATTTAGACAGCAAACGCCATGTCTCCTTTCGCATGCCTCTCTGTCTCTGGGGATTGGCTGTGCAGGACTTGTTAAAAGGGTTTCTATTCTGCTTATATGAATGCTCTGGATGCAGATTTTACACACAAGAGACAAGTTCAGCTGCTATCGAATTTTCTTTGTCCCATTCTCCTTTCTTATAATCACAAGACTAAGCACCTAGATGTGTAAAGCCAGGTATTTTTAGCATGAGATACATACTTGTACACATGAACAATCGTCACATTTCTCAACACCCATGAATTATTCACCTTGGATTTTTTTCTCCGTGCAGTAGGTATAGATTCTCTTTTTATCCCTTGCACTTCCAGCTTTCTCTTTTTTTCATACCTCCCTTTAAAAAATGTTAGGAAAGAAAGAATTGAAGTTTTATTAGGATTTTTTTTTTTCTTGAAACAGGGTCTCACTCTGTCACCCAGGTTGGAATGCAGTAGCACAATCTTGGCTCACAGCAACCTCTGCCTCCAGGGCTCAAGTGATCCTCCCACTTCAGCCTCCCCAGTAGCTGGGACTACAGCTGCACACCACCATGCCCAGCTAATTTTTGTATGTTTTGTAGAGACAGAGTTTCACCATGTTGCCCAGGCTGGTCTTGAATTCCTGGGCTCAAGCAATCCACCTGCCTCAACCTCCCAAAGTACTGGGATTACAGGTGTGAGCCACTGTGACCAGCCAGGATAATTTTTAATAGCTTGACACATATATCTCATAATAGGGATAGTCTTGTCCTGATACTTAACATCCATTGCCTGTATCATTCCTATCCTATGTTTCCTGACAACAAAATAAAAAACACTCTAAGTCCATTGAACACTTCTCTTTGTCCCTCTCTTGATGCATCATTCAGGGAGAGAATAATTTCACTGTCTTTGGCTCTATTCACAGTTGCTATTTACATTGAGTTCAAATGTGCTCAATTTAATTGAATGTCTTATATTTTATCTGAAAATCCTGAATTATATCCTGTACTGTGGCTATTACTGTGTTACGATAGTTGCCTGTACCTTGTAATAACCATGGAGGAAAATAGTTGAGCAGGAACAATTGCAGTGAAACTATAAAAAAGTTTTTACTTCTCTGAGGCAAAGGACTCTATTGGATTTATTTCCTTCTATATCCTCAGAGCCTAGCACCCATAAGTGCCTCACAAGTATTTGTCAAATGACTTAAAAGATGGTAAATATTGAGCAAATCAGTTCCTATGTCTGTCTCTGCTTTACCTTTGATTCAGTCAAACTTCTTCTCTAAACAGCCAGATAGCAAATATTCTAGGCTTTGTGGGCCACATAGTTTCTGTTGCAAGTGTTCAATGCCAGCAAGATGGCAGCCATAGACCATATGTAAACAAATGAATATGGCTGTGTTGCAATAAAAATTTATTTATGAAAACAGGCAACAGGCTAGATTTGGCCTATAGGTAAAAGTTTGCTGACATCTCTTACAGGTCCATGTCCCACACTCCTACCCCCCAAAATGTGTATATAATGGTGATCTGTCCCAACTTTTTCTGGGTGGCAGTGGTGGTGGAGTGGAGAGTGGAGAGAAAACAGTTATGATGACAAATATAGGCCATCTCTCTCTACTACTCTTTAACCACCAACCATCCCATGGAGAATATGAATACCTTCCTTTTTTGTTGTTTTGTTTTGTTTTGTTTTTTTAATGGAGTCTCACTCTGTCACCTAGGCTGGAGTACAGTCGTGCTATCTCGGCTCACTGCAACCTCTTCCTCCTGGGTTCAAGCAATTCTCCTGCCTTGGCCTCCTGAGTAGCTTGGATTACAGACACACATCACCATGCCCGGCTACTTTTTTGTACTTTTAGTAGAGACAGGGTTTCACCATGCTGGCCAGGCTGGTCTCAAACTCCCAACCTCATGATCCGCCCCCCTTGGCCTCCCAAAGTGCTGGGATTATAGGTGTAAACCACCACGCCGGCCGAATATCTTCCTTTTAATTCACAAACCTGGTAATAGCCTCAGGGAGCCTTAACTTAAGTGTTGTTGAAGCGTCTAAGATGCCAATAGTGAATGGTATCACTAAAACTAATGTTTTTCAGTATTAAATTTTTTTAAATTTTGTGGGTACTTAGTAGGTGTATATATTTATGGGGTACATGAGATGCTTTGATGCAGGCATGTGATGTGAGATAAGGCCATCATGCAGAATGGAGTATCCATCCCCTCATGCATTTATCCCTTGAGTTACAAACAATCCAATTACACTCTTTAAGTTATTTTAAAATTTACAGTTAAGTTATTATTGACTAGAGTCACCCTATTGTGTTATCAAATAGTGTGTTACATTTATTCTTTTTCTTTTCCTTTTTTTTTACCCATTAACCATCCCCATCTTAGTTTTTTTGTTGTTAATAAAACAAGGGCAGCTCTCCATGAGAGCACCTTCTCTGGTTCATGCTTCCGGAAACACAGTTCCCAAGGTGAATGGGCTCATGACTCACATAGTAGCCTCTCTAGGGGCTACACAGTGGGTTGTTCTTCTCTAAATAGCACCCTGGGACACTGGGGTTCCAAATAAAAGATGCCTGGACATCAACAACTGGAGCCTCATGAGACACCTAGAATCAGAAAGTGGTAGGTGATGGTTTTGTAGGTTTTGATTAGTGTTTAAATTCAGTACCAGCTTCTTTCTCTATAATATGGATTAACTGCGCTAGACAGAAGCCAAACCCTGTCCAGTTTTCAGTGTCGAAGCAATGGGAGAAGGGTTTCCTGCTCTGGCTGAAGGTCATCCAATAGGCAAGCCACTGAAAGGCACCGATGTGGGGGAGTGTTGGTTGCTGCTGTGATCCCTGAGGCTCTGGGTCCCTGAGGAAGTTTACTTGCCAAGTATGTCTATTATCTGGTACTCACTGGTGCAACCTGTCTGACCACAAAGGAGAGAGAGTTTGTATGAACACCACTGCTAACTTGTCTGTGCAAATGCACATAAACAGCAAAGGCAACAGTAGCACATAAAGAAAGAAAGGATATTCTTCATGGAAAAGGATTTATTTGGAGTGGTCTCTAGTCATTCTTCTTATTTTTCTTTCTTTTTCAATCATTAAGTTTTCTCTAGCTCTTTTAAATCTTTACCTGTTTAGGCATAGAATGTTTTCCTGATTTACATATGTCTTTCTCCTTTTATACTGAGAAAGGACCTGTTTCTTTAAAATATAAATCTGTGTATATATATCTATTTCTATAGATCTAGATATGTATGTTTTTCTATATGTATAGATATAGATATCTACAGATATAGACATGTATATGTTTTTCTCCATTTTTTTTTTTTTTTATTTTTCCTTTCTTTTCTCCATGAACTACTTATTCCTTTCTCAACTGCTCCTCATCCTTAATGATTGAGCCCAGGTATCAGTTTCTCCTCCAGAGTCTTTTCCTACCTTGGAAACCCCATCTCCCCAACCCCGACCAGGTATATACTTTCCTTGTGTGTATGTTGATCACTGCATTCACAGAATTATGTGATAATTACGTATTTGTGTGAGTTCTTTGTTACTTGATGTAATCATCTTTGTTACCCAACCTAAGCACCCTGGCTGTCACATGGTTAGCCTTCAGCAGAATGAGTATGGTTGTTTAGCATTGAGGCTCATAAAGGTTAAATGTGACCAGAGCTAGAGAGGTGGGAAGTAGCAGATGAAGGATTCTGGCCGAGTGTGCCCCAGACTCCTAAACCACTGCCTCTTCAGATTAACCTACTTTTATAGTTCAGGAATGCCTGGCCATCTGCAGTAGATGGCTTGGTAAGAACAATATTCAGTTCTTTCTCCTGAGGTTTTTTCATCTTTTCTTCTATTTTCACTTTCCTAGCCAGGGCAGCCATCTGACTCCTTAAAGAAAATCCCGAGGTGGAGCTGATGGGACACAGATTTCCTGGGTGCTTCCTGGGCCCTGCTGGCTTCTTGCATGGGCTTCTCTCATGGGAGGGATCTCTTTTCCTTATCTTTCCCCCAACTACCCTATCTCCAAATGCTGAGGCCTCCCATTAGATCTCCCTGTCCACAAATCCCCAGAAACTACAGATGCACTCTTCAGCCCTCTCCCTATCACACAGAGCTGTTAACAAAACAGTGTATCACTGAAATGATCTTAGGGTTGTCTGATAGTCCCAGGGGGATAAGTGTTTCCTCCCACATCAACAGAAGCCACATAAATAGCCCATGTTTATTTGTGACTTTCTGATTTCCTAATATTGTTTGGGAGAACAAAATCATAGTTTATTACCACATACACACACACACCCCCCTCTGATGTTACTCACCCTAGAGGACAGCTTCATAGAGTACAATAGTCACTAGCCCCTTGTGGCTACAGAACCCTTGAAATGTGGTTAGTGTGACTGAGGAACTGCCATTTTTATTTCATTTAATGTATTAAAATGAATTTAAATTTAATCACACATGATTAGTGGCTACTGTAGCTTACAAAACAGCTTTAGAGCATCTGCTCTCCCGACTTCAACATGGGGCTTTATATCAATCTTACTATTTGATAACAGACTGAAGATGTAAAATTAGTTGTTTGATTAGACTACTTCTCCATAAATGTCCCACTAGAGAACCACCTTGGACAATAATTCTCGGGGTACCCTGGAAGTTTAATAAATGTGAAAAGGAAAATAACTTTTTGCTGAAAGGGAAAAGAAATTTTTAATTATAATCCATATATCCTAAATAGTTTTTACAAACCTTCAAAAGTTATGTTGTATATATGAGGGGAGGGAATTTATACTTTATATGGAAGCTCACTGGAAGCTTAGATGAAGATGAATCCTGCAACAGTGTCCTGAATTCTGCTACCAGTTATAGCACATGTGACCTTGCATAAATCACTTTCCAAATGTCTGGTCCCTCATTTGTAAATTAGGAACCCACCCAAAGTATTCCACAGAGTTTCTGGGATTAAATGATATAATATAGAGGCAACCGCTTTGTAAAATGCTATAAGGATGACATTTGCTATTAAAATTTAATTGATAGTATCATAACTCTGTAATCCTTCCAGAGTAATTCAGTGTCAACAGCAACGGTGGTGGAGAGGAGTCACACTTTCCTCACCTTTAATTGTAAAGTAATTCAGAAAAAGAAAGAAATTCTACTAGTCATTATGGTAAGTAAAGAGGGATTGCTTTTATATTAATGCATGGAAATATTTGTGTGTGTTCGTGGACTTTACAGTTATCCAAACCAATCTTGTTTTAAAAGCCAAATTTTAACTTATATGATTTTCTTTTCTGAGGTAGTCCCAACTTTAGGATTTTTCTCCTGTTTTTATAATAAAAGGATCTTTCAGAAAAACATAATAAGCTTTTTATTTCATTTATTATGACTCAGTCAGTATTTTGATTTGTAATCTCCTGTCCTTCGGCCAAAGCCTTCAGGGCAATGCTTACTTATGGTAAGCACCCTTTTTCTCACTCATGGGGACAACAATAATTTTAGACACTCAAATATACAAATGTATCTGTGGAGTCATCCCCAAATGACAAAAAATTATTCCAAAAGACAGGAAAATATGCGCCCTTTTCTTATTTTGCACATCTGAGAATGCCCAACTGAATTTCAGTTTCTTTCATACAATCCAGAGTATTTTTAATAAGAAAAATGTTTTTTTCTTACGGTCATCTATAAATGTTTTTTAAAATCTAAATGTCCCAGTCTTAGCTAGTATGTTTTATATATATTTGCCAATTTCTGGACTGAAATCTAAACACTCTTTTAATTGACAGATAAGTGTAACAGGTTTCAAAACAATCCATTTTGTTCTATTTACTTTAGTGCATTTGAAACAATTGATATATGGCTTATGTTCGTAAGCATTTAATAACGAAAGTGCTATTTTATCCTAAACAATGAATCAGGGAATGCCTTGGCAATCTAATTTTTGGCTTTTGGGGCTTCATATTTTACACTTTAACACTCCAGCCAAGCCTAAAGTCTAGATACTTTATGAGTTTGTATAAAAATACATTTAAAAAATAAGCCATTCTATAACGTGTAACATAAATATTTGTAGCCTAAAGCCATTCACATGTTATAAAGTTTTCTGGAATGTAACACCATGGATAAATATTCCAATATGGGTTAATATCACTTAAAGTCATCTTCATGTTACATGAATCATGAAGACATGTTTTAATCTTTAAGATGTGTGTCAGTTGATCTAAGTTAGAACACGCATTCAAGACTTTGAGAGCACAGAACTAAACATAATGCTTCCCCTCAACTTCACAGAAAATCCAGAAGAGCTAAAAAAAATGTACCATGGGAGTACAGCTAAGTTGTATTCAGGAAAAAACAGTTGCTTTGATTACGTTCAGACATTCCCACAATTATTTTTTTTGGAAGCAAGTTGGATCTTTTAAGCAATCTACAGCTGCTATTTCTGAAATTGTTACTATTATGGCAAACTGGGAATTTCATATGTGCCAGACTCTGTCATAGTGTAGTATCTCATTTAATGCTCAGACACCCTTTCATGATGTGAGTAGGATTCTTAGTTTACACATGAGGAAGTGGAACTCAGAGAGGCTTGGTCAAATCAGCAGACAAATTATCATTAGTTTTAACAACAATGTGTTTAGATTTTTATTTTTTTTTAGTGGATGAAAGAAACATGGAACTTGTGAAGTGAAGCAGCAGTACCAGCCTACCATCATGTTTGCACACAGCGCCTCCAACATCCCTGCCATGTACATCTTCCCTCCACTTTATCTTTCCCTGTTGAGATTCTATTCATTCTCCAAGGCTCAGTCCAAATGCCACATCCTCCCTAATTTTCTGGTATGAATGTCCCATTCCTCTTATGTTTCCTTGGTGTGTTGCTAATATTTCTTTTAGAACTCTGGCAGCAATGCATTAATTAAAAGAACACTTATGGAGTACCACTTTGTACTTGGTGCAAGAGTTGACTGTGATAAGGTCTATCTCTCCCTGAGAATAGAGTCTTTGTCTTACTCACTTTTATGATATATATATATATATATATAGCATATAGCAGAGAAACTTGCTCATAGGTATGCAACAGAGATTTGAGTAGAGTTCCATTCTGGCCACTCACTGAGTCACATCCAACAACCTCCTCAACATTTTTTTAAACAAAATAGGAAGCAAATAGATGACACACTTAGAGTACTCCCTCATATATTGAAGAGTTCATAATCAGGAACTCCCACAATTGGAGAGTTAGGTGTGTACTTCAGTTGCTGTCACAAACTGCTTTAGAATGCCGTCAACATTTACTGTGAAAGTTTTTCCTTCTCCCAGATTTTTCTTTCAATTCATTTAGGAGAAAAAAAAATTATTAAATATTACTGAGTCTTTAACACCTTGCAGTTTCTATTTGCTCCTAGCGAGGGAAAGCTTTTTAGAGCTCTCGTGGGATACAATGGCTAGAGAGGAGAATAATGGAGCTGGAGTATCTAGGAGAAATAAGCCCTAGGATGAATCAAAATTACACAAAAATAAAGGAATCTTGAGATTTTCCTGGATGCTGCCAACTCACTGACATATTTGGCTATAACCCAGCATCATTCTACGTATTCTGTACATTAAAATATAAAGTGATTTATTTAGGAATATCAAGAATGTCTCTCTCTACATAAGGTCCAATCAAAAAGCATAGTAAGGATCGTATGCAAGTCATCTCTAAAGATCAAACACTAACCATGGTCCACAGCAAGGCATGTTGCAATTTACAATTAGAGTTACGTTCACATGTCTATTTTTAAGATAATCGTTTATTAAACTAAAATTTTTAAAAAGCTTGTTACAAAGGGAGCACATAATTCTGACATTTATGTTTTCTGAGGCTGATTTCTTGTTGAGAATTGCAAAAGTGTGAAATTTTTATATTTTCTGATATGTAAACTAATGTGGAATGACTCATGACTGTTGTAATTAACATAGAACATCTCATTAAAAAAACAGATAACTAAGCTTAGTGATAGATATTGAAACGGTATTCCTAGCCATAAAATTATGTAATAATTGGTGATATGTTTTGGATTTGTGTCTCTGTTCAAATCTCATGGTGAATTGTAAACCCCAGTGTTAGAGGAAGAGCCTGGTGGGAGATGAATGGATCATGCGGGTTGACTTCCTCCTTGCTGCTCCTGTGATGTAATCTGGTTGTTTACAATTGTGTACCACCTCCTTCTTCATTCTCTCTCTCCTGTCGCCATTTGAAGATGTGCCTGCTTCCCCTTTGCCTTCTGCCATAATTGTAAATTTCCTGAGGGCTCCCTGGTCATGCTTCCTTTACAATCTGTGGAACCATGAATCCTTTAAACTTCTTATCTTTATAAACTACCCAGTCTCTGGTAGTTATTTATAGCAATTTGAGAGTGGACTAATACACTTGGTTAAGAACATTCTTTTGTGTTGGTATTAATTTCTAAGCATTAACCATAGGCTGTAAATAATAATGGCAATCTCTCACATTTGAATAGAGCTTATAAATTCTCAAATTTTTTTTTTAGATTTACTCAAGGATGAATTAATATTAGAGTGCTAGTTGTGTAAAGAACCTTATATGTTATCTCATTTCATGGTAAAAATTAGGAAGCAAAAAGATACATTTTGAACTTGTTAAAGTTTGCTCAGCTAATACAGGGCAGAGATTCAAATTTAGGTTTTTCTGATATTTTGAACTCTTCAAAGTCTTTGTAATATCCCCTTGAAAACTGATAAGGAATTCCAGTGATTTGCCCAAGGTCATAATTCATGGCAGATTAGAAGCCAGAATTCCCATCTTTTAGTTATTTCCATACGCTCTATTACTCTATGCTTTATGCATAGATATCAGAAAGTCAAGATTAATTTTTAGTGTTTAAGATTTTTCTTTTCTTATAAAGGTTAAATGTGGTTTGGATAGGAAAATATGCTGCCAAGGACTGCTTACCTAACTAGAAATATTGTATAAAGCCTGAAGCAAGTAATCTGAGTAATTAACCTCAATGATGTAAACACTCTTTTTCATAGAGTCATCCTATATACAGTAAAAGTTATCTTAAGCATCATTTTACTAATCAGGAAGTATTCCTCTGACAATCTCTTCCATCTGAAATCTCTTAGGATTGCATATAATGCAGTATTTGGGCTCCAGTGGTACACATATAAGAGCTCTCACTTAGAGTTAAATTGTTTCCAATTAAATTGACAACACTTTAGGAAACAGGGACCATGCATTTTTCAAAATTGCTTTCTTGAATCTCAGATATTATGCAAGTAAGATAGTATACATATTTGTAGAAATTTGCTGGAAAAAACTTTAGAACCCAGCGTGCAGCCCACTCTCTGGAATAACAAATGTAATAGATTCAAGGACAATAGTCCCATACAAGCAAGTATTAATAATTAGCTATTTTGTGACCAGAGGAAAGTGATACATTTCCTTTCACAAAATCGAGTTGCTTCTATACATATACTTAGCTCCAGGAATATAGTCCTATGCATTTGCTCCTAAGTAAAATGAGGAAATAATCTATTGAGTCCATTGAGGTAATGGAACTTAAAATTAAGTTGTAAACACCTTTGGAAAATGTTGAGTTCCAACTCTCACACAAGACTGAATACAAATCTTTTTATTGTAAAGACCATGTATTGCCTTTCCTCCAGTTCAGCGAAACTGGAGATAGGAACGATGGATGTTTACTTGATGAGGCACAGACTCACATGACATCTAGTAGATTGCTGCTTCAATGGCCTAAGTGGCATTTTAGAGATTAAAGGAATCAGTGTGCCTCTGAAAATACCTTGCATCCAAGGACTGGTTGGGTCAGGCCAAGTAAATATTAGCAATATCAGTTGATTATTAAAAAAATCCAAATTCTCAACAATCTCATCAGGAATCCAGGCCAAGAAATCTGAGACAGATTGGCTCACCAGGTCAATATTCATGATTCAGAAGTCAGTGTGTTGGCATCGGCTATGAATACTGAGGTAATTACTTATCTTATTTTTTAAAGTTACGTAGTATCTTTCTTTCTTTTCTTTTTTTTTTTTTTTTGATGGAGTCTTGCTCTGTTGCCCAGGCTGGGGTGCCCTGGTGTGATCTCGGCTCACTGCAAGCTCTGCCCCCCAGGTTCACGTCATTCTCTGCCTCAGCCTCCAAAGTAGCTGGGACTACAGATGCCCGCCACTGCACCTGGCTAATTTTTTGTATTTTTAGTAGAGATGGGGTTTCGCCCTGGTCTCGACCTCCTGACCTCATGATCGGCCCCGCCGGCCTCGGCCTCCCAAAGTGCTGGGATTATAGGCGTGAGCCACCGCGCCCAGCCTGATATGTAGTATCTTTCTTAAGATATACAATAGACAGCAGCCTTTTTATGGCATGGATCCCTCCTAGGTGCCGTCTGTAGAGTTTAAGCTAGGAAAGGTCACTCATTTGTATCTCTTGCTTGTTTATAGAATCTGGGCTGCCAGTTAGTCAAAGGTCTTAGTTTCATAATGGATTTTGATTGACATATTTTCCTGTTTGCTTATTATCTGAGAAGGTAGCTCACAACAAAAATGTAAAGCCTTACATTCAATCTTGATGACTCAATGTTTCAAATGTTAGGAATGTGATTTGAAAAAAATGGGATATACAATTAAGTTAAAAGGAATTTGACTTTTTATCAAGATGAGATTGTCGGATGAGATCGGTCCGTACAAAAAAGTAAATATTCTCCTAAAGAGTGAAATGTTTTAATACAGGCGTGATCAGTTTGACCAAAGCTCTCATTCTGTCTGTCATTATGTGAATTTCAAAACATATTTTTTTCCATGAAACAATAGAGTGGTACTTGAAGTCTGTTCTGTACCAAGATAAATTTCATTTTGATTCCAACAAAAATAGTTATGTGAGAATCTCAGAGTTTAAAGAGACCCTATCAGACAATTAAAATTAGTTTCCTGCAAATATATTGCTAAACTCTATGAAACTGTTTTTTGGGAATGGGTAGAATTTATTTGGCACTTCTAGGCCTTAGTGTATTTCTAAATAATTTCTCAACTATTGGCTAAAATTAAATATTACAGTCTTTTTTCAGAAATTGAAATATTAAAACAGACATTCAAGTAGAAGACACTAAATAGAATATTCTCAAACTAGGTTTTGAATATATCCTAGAAGGAGAATGTAAATGTCTCTATTGTTTTTTCTTTTGAACAGATTTGTGTGTTTAAGTTATACTTTTCCAAAAAAAGTATAATTGCTCATTCCTAAGACTTAGAAAAGAATGGCTTTAAAAAAACTTTTTTATAAAAAGCATTAGTTAAAATTACAAATAGTCTCCTGTCAGCCAATCTAACACTTAGCAGCAGACTCGGCACGGCTCTGTTTAAATTCTTTTTCATTTGCTTTTTGCACATATGTGTGTATGTGAACATCAATGATTTCAGTTTTTTCAAAACATGTTTTCCCTTCATAATGCTTTATTTAAATGGGAAAACAACAACTGCAAGCACCCAATGACTTCAGTGAGACTAGCATTGAATAGTGAGAGGTTTGACACAAAGGAAACAAAAGCTGTGAAAGAAAAGGAAGCGATGAATGGACCCAGGTACGTGGTAGATGGTGGTGTGCTTGTCATTAGCAAAGAAGCACGTGTGAGTTGTCACGTATTTCATGTCAAACTGGTCAAAGGCATTATTTTAAAATGACATGTGGTTCATTGGGAATCAGTTTACTTCCATTCTCATGTTCAAATTAGGTTAATTTTTTCTTTAGTTTTCTCAAAGGGTGAAAACATCCCATCTCTTTTACAGACCTCCAGGGAAAGGCATGGAGGTTTGAGGCATGAAGACTCTAAACAGCCAAATTATGTCTTGGGCACAGATTCTATTATTCAGTGGTAACCCATCAGCCTAGCTCTCTGTGAAAAGTAAGTCCCTTCCTTTGTATTGCCTGGTCAGTCGTTCAGTTCTGATTGTAAGACACGTTCAATTAGGAGGTTTCCCTTTTAGACGCGGTGAACAATGATCACTTATGAATGCAGAGGTTCATCGTTGAGGGCAGTCATTTATTTACATTTTGGATGGAAGTTTTTCTTTAAAGCATAGTTTTCAGGTTTACTATTCCCAGGAAACATATCAAAGTATGTATTTGAAACGCTCAATGTCAGGATCCCTGCTTTGTTTACCAGAACTGTTTTTCATCTTCTGTAAAATCACAGACAGGTGTTAACATTTCAGTGACTAAGATGTTCCATTGTGTGAAACAGTGGGCTCCTCACTTTCATACCACAATACATTTCCAGGATCAACCCATTTCACTTTTTAATAACAATGACCATAATTACTCTAATAGTTATTGCAGAGACACCACCATTAAGCAAGTTATGTAAGTGCTCAATGCCTCAGTTTACCCATCTGTAAAATAACAATAATAATGTCCTCCTAAAATATCATGAGGATTAAGTGATAGAATGTATAGCATTACTGGACTATAGTAGGTGTTTAATAAACGGTAGCTATTCTCATTCGTTTTATGTGTTTACATCATATAAGACTTCTGTCACTTTGTTTGAGAGAGCTATAGATGCGATCAAGTGACACTCCTTCTCCAGGGAGTCAAGCCTGAAAAGAAGTAAACACCACCGCTCACTGAATGACTTGCCATTAGGATGGTAACAAACACAGCTCTGCTGTCCGTGGTGAAATAGTACTAATGATTACCACACTCTTATTTTCCTTTGTCAGACCATGGACGGTTATAGCCCTAGGTCAGTTTGACTTAAACTCAGCTTCTGGTCATCAGGGCCTAGTGCTAAATACCTTTTAAATATTAGAATTCTCCAAAAGAAGGGAACTTTTAATGTGGTAGCATTCTAATAAGCTCTTTTCCTATAAATCTGTGAAATTACTATTGACTGTTATGCATTTTAATTAATATATTTTTTTCTTTTTGTACTTGTGCCTGGAGATAACACTGAGAAAGGCATTATCTTAAAGATTGAATGAGTAAGTAACCCAAACACAAATGATTTATCTCTCCCTGGATTATGGCACTTAGAAAAAAATAAAATAGCTAGATTTTTATATTATGGGATAGATTACTTCTGCTTTTTTCTCATTATGTTTAACACATTATAACATAGTGTGTTGTATATAATATATACATATATAACACATTATGTTAGTCAAATTCCCCATCCTGTGAATTTTTTAAACGAAACCAATTATGTATTTCTCTAGCTTTTTTTAGAGTTCTGTTTTAGTGACTTAGCTATGAAATACAGAAATTCCCGAATGAATCGGCAAAAGTACAAAATACGTTATTTTAAATAAAAGCTTATATTCTAATGTTCATTGCCAGTATGTGACATTCTTAGAAGTCATCAGTTGGTGGGATACTATAGCTGATGTTCACAATACACAAGGTTCAATCAGTTCACACTCTGCAGGGTTCAATAGTTCATTGGAGATAAGCATCTATCATAAGATGCTCTTTTGAAACTTGTCAGGAAAATCTTAAAAGCATTGTCGCATTAATTTTCTCATTATTTTTCATTGTATCACTGGTGGCAGATAAGGATGAAAAGGGCTCAAAACGGTATGTCTAGAAAGAAAAAACCGGCCCATTTACTAATCTAAGCATGGAATAGATTTTCTCCGAGTTGATTATGTCTTGCCTCATTATCCATATAAACCAGGGATTTGAGGTAAGCTCTGACTCCAGAACTCATATTGATCTTCCCAACTTCCTGCTATCCCTTCTAGAAGAACCCAGGGGAAAAGCAAATCCAGAAGTAAAATTTTCACCTCTCAAATATTCTAAATCCTTTTTCTTATCCTTCATGTTTTTCCCCTCATCAACCTCACAATCTGTCTTTGTAATCTACACATTTTGAGGCTTTACATCTTCCCAGCTGGGTCTCATATACCACTCAGGTTGACATTTGCTTACATAATGTTTTCTCTTGGCCATCATCTCCCTTCAGAGATGAAGAAACCATTGATGTTGAAGGTAGGAGAAATGTCTTGTGTCTGAAGTTTTACCGTGTGAACTTTTTTTTTTTTGAGACAGTCTCGCTCTGTTGTCCAGGCTGCAACGTAATGGCATGATCTTGACTCACTGCAGCCTCTGCCTCCCAGGTTCAAGCGATTCTCCTGCCTCAGCCTGGAGAGTAGCTGGGATTACAGGCACTCACCACCAAGCCCTGCCAATTTTTGAATTTTTTGTAGAGATGGGGTTTCACCATGTTGGCCAGGCTGGTCTCCAAGACCTCAAGTGATCTGCCTGTCTTTGCCTCCCAAAGTGCTGGGATTACAGGCGTAAGCCACCACACACAGTCTACAGTGTGAAATTTACATTCACTTGGCTTCATTGCCATTTGCAAAAATGGAATGAGGGTGGGCTTGGGCTATCCAATGTTAGAAGCTTTTAAAGTTCTAACCTTGATTGTGGTAGAAATTAGTGTTCATGGACTCTTGCAGCCAGAATGCCTGGATTTGAAGCCTGTTTCTAGCACCTGTCACTGTGATTCCATTCAGTTACCTGTTTCTAAGAGCCTCGATTTCTTCATCCATGATAGGAGCATAAAAATGTTTCTTTCAGAGTGTTGTTATTAAAATTAAGTTAGAAACACACATATGTATTATTAAGAGAGTGTACATCTGATACTCTTTTAGTCATATGTATATTATTCAGTAGAGATGAGCTACGGTAGTCCTCCCTTATCCTTGGGGACATTACCTTTCAAGACCCCCAGCGGATACCTAAAACCATGAATACTACTGAACCCCATATATTCTATGTTTTCTTCTATACAAATATGCCTGTGATAAAGTTATTTATAAATTAGGCACAGTAAGAGATTAACAACAATAATAATATAATAGAACAATTATTTCAATATTCTGTAATAAAAGTTATGTAAATGTATTCTTTTTCTCTCTCAAAATATTGTAATATTTGTGGACCATGGCTGACTACAGGAACGGAAACCTAGAAACGTGAAAGTGTAGCCAAGGGGAACCGATTATACTAATCCTACCAATTCTACTAATTAATAGGTTAGGTTTATAATGTACTTTCATTTACAATATTTCAATTAACGATTGCAAGAATCCTGATATTAGGATGAATAATGAAGCCCTGAAAGGTTAGTTGACTTATTTAAGGTAAACAGGTGGTGGTGGATCAAGAACTGGAACCCATATCTTGTCTAGGGTTTTATCAACTACACAAATATAATGATACATTTACAACTTAGTCTTTGATGACTAACACCCAAGATTTTTTCTCTTTATAAGATCTTTTAGGAGACTCTGTTGTTGACATGAAATTGTTGTTATTTTATACTACATTGTGACTAAGAATAATCAAGGTTTGTTTTCTGAGCTGCCTAATCTAGGAGCGATATCCATATTCATATAAAATTTGAGTATATTTGAGTAGCGTCTAAAGTCAAACAGGTTATACTGAGTTTCTTACTTACATCTTTGTTTTTCTGAGGATGTAGGTTGGGATGTGGAATGAATGGATCATTGCAGAATTTTTTTGAAGATTAGCATGCAAGTAAAAGCTGCTGTTTGATTTGTACAGAAACGTGTTACTCTTAGAATATTCTGCAACGTTAGGATGAATTGTGAATGTATGCGTGTGTGTATTTGTGGGTCTGATGATATGCATATAGAGAAAGTAGTCTTCTTTTGAAAGCTGCACTAATACATTTCTGTTCAAATACAGTAATCGACATTCCCATTTCAACTATTTATTTGGGGAGAAAATGTTCAAGTGCAGGACTGACTTACCTGACCTGTTTACTGAAAGTGTGATTAATTTTCATGCATACAAGGATAGAAGTGCAGAAAAGCTTTTCCTTTCCTTTATTCTCTCTGTGGCATCTTTTGACCTACACCTGGTAATTCTCTGTGATGAAAATGTGCAGAAGAAAACAGCTGTGTGCAAATAGACAATAGGGAAAAGGCACAGGATGAGAAACTGAATGAGAAGTGCATTTTACAAAGTATGAAAATAGAGTGTTATTTATTTTATTTTAGCAATAACAAAAAAGGCACTACGTAAGAGTAATGTAATTTCACATGGGCCAGGAGCCCACCCAGGCAGAGCCATCAACTAATCTGGTCTCATCTTCTTTTAGTCAGACTTATTTTGTTTTTTACCAGAAAAAGGTGTCATTAGTTATTTAATACAAAGTGCATGCCAGTTACAATTCTAAATATCTCAACTGCATCACTGTTTAAATTTCTTTATACTTAACAATCCTAACAATCTTATGCTGTTGGTATATTGGTTTCTGTTTTTCATGTAAAGTCTAGAAAGTTGACATATAATAGTTTTCAGAGAGCTGATACATCAAAGGGTCAGGATTTGAACACGTTTCAGCCTTATTCTGAAGTTGAAATCTTAACCACAATGTTCATGAGCATCTACTGGGGATGGTGTTCATGGGATGTGTGATAATTAATTTTATGTGTCAACTTGGCTTGGCCATGGTGTGCAGACATTTGGTCAAACATTATTTTAGATGTTTCTGTGAAGGTCTTTTTGATGAGACTAACATTGAAATCAGTATATATTGAGTAAAACAGACTACCCTTCAGCATGTGCATGGGCCTAATCTAAAAAATTGAAGGCCTTGGTAGAAAAAGATCTACCTTCCTGGAAGATGAAGGAATTCTGCCAGTAGATGACCTTCTGATCTGAACTACAATTCAGCCTTCCCCTGGGTCTCCAGGCTGCTAGCCCACTCTGCAGATTTCGGATTGACCAGCCTCCATAATCATGTGAGCTAATTCCCTAAAATAATTCTCTCTTTCTATATATACACATCTGATTGGTTCTTTTGCTCTAGAGAACCCTGATTAATATAAGATGGGTTTTCATTCATTCACTTTATCTGGGGGGTTGGCTGAG